AAGAAAGGGTTCAAAGGTCGATAAGTTTGTCTTATTGGTAGAGTATAATTAAAATACGTCCTATCTGTTACCTTCATATTATGCAAGTACTCTTTAAATTGTTTATTCTGCTAGAACAATTAGATTAACTAAGTTACAAAGAAATGATTTCAATGTCTCAATGATGCAAAAAGAGTACGTTATACTAACTAACTGGTGATCCTGTTACTGTCATTCCTGTTACCATTAATATGGTAACAGTAAGGAAAACTGGACTTCATATCTTGAGTTTTAACAATAAAAACAATTACTTTTATTTTTCTAAGTAATATAAGTTTAATAACACATGTTAAAAAACTTTGTAAATCATATTGAAATTTGTTTGTGCTTCAAATAGTGCCATTATAACTTAAACATGCACTCTTGTAACAGAATGGACAGAAATTGTAACAGGAGGGACAAATTATCCTGGTATTTATATATCTATTTAAGTTTTATCATTTGTTTTTCTTAAAATTATGAAAAATTCTTAGTTTTGCAACAGCATAGAGTACCTTTAATAAATAAAAAATGAAGTGATAAATATTTTAATAGCACTTTACAATTAAATTACGCGTCGCCGGTAAAACTCAGTTTGCGACCGTTAAATCAGCATTAACGGTCGCAAATACCAAATTAGAAGATTGTTATTCCCTAATTTGAATTCATGTCATCAAGCTAAGTCAACAGTGAAATTTAAAGAAATGACTAATTTTTTATAGAACCATGCATAGGCATAGACAGTGCTTTTTTTTAATAAATAGTTTTGAATTAAAAAATTGGAAAATATATCCAAACATTGAGTGTCAAATAAAGGTGATAAGGTATACTTACTAAGGGGAAAATAATTTTAATATTATTAAAAGTTCTATAAGAATAAAAAAGGTCGTCATTCGAAAGACACAAGCATTATATTGTCAAATAAAAGACCTTTTACACCTTTTCTTCGGGTAATTATATCTTAAAACATTTTGTTTATTACTTTGTAATATAGGGTATCCATTTTTCCAAATATTTTTAAGAACATTTTTTAAAAAACAAATGAGTTTGCTTAATGAATTCCCGATATCACATTATGTAAAAATGCCATGAAAAAGATTTTTTCTTTGCATTTCTCTGGTGATATCAGTTATAGCCATAGATCGATCAGCAGTATTTCCAAATAAATTGCTCCGTCCAGGTATTCGGTCGTCATTCTATTTCTCCTGCCCAATCAACAGCGATGGATAATTTACTAAGAAGAGATCTTAGATGGTTAGCTTTATTCATCGTTCTTTCTAGAATTTCTTGTGAAGATTATATGGATGTAATGAATTTGTCAAGTAAGTTGCTACAAAACTATTCCAGATCTATCATTCCAAAGAGAAATCAAAGCGAAACGATCAAGTTAGAAATGGACATAAGTCTTAAAGCTCTCAACAAATTTGACGTCGTGGATGGCCAGATGACCATGGTTACAGCAATGGCTTTAAAGTGGAAGGACCAATTGTTGTCATGGGATCCTAAATACAACAAGGACATTAATGAATTAAGTTTTCCACTCGCCAAAGTCTGGTCACCAAATCTTTACCTACTAAACTGTGCTCAGGAATTTCTCATCTACAAGGGTGATCCCGACACCAAAGAAGTTGAATTTTCCAGCAGTGGACAAGCTCGTTTGTTTTTCATGGAAGTTTTGACCACAACGTGTACCTCAGACATCACTTACTATCCAAATGATATCCATCACTGTAAAATATATTTATCCACCTTAACATCTGCTTTTAAGCTGCGAATGGGATTAGCTGAGGTAGATATTGTAAATTTTGAAACTAATGGAGAATGGAAACTCGGTAATATTAGGTCTGAGGTTGAGTTCTTGGAAACGCAAAATATAGAACGTGTTGTGATAACAATCGCTTTGGAAAGAAGGATGTTGTTTCACATGATAAATGTCGTCGCCCCGGTTGTTTTTCTGGGGTTTGTTAACGTGATTGTTTTCAAGCTTCCTGTGGATAGTGGAGAACGGATGTCTTTTGCAATGACTGTTCTTCTGAGCTTCGCTGTCTACATGACTTTGATTGCCGATAAAATGCCTCAAACGAGCAATACGACTTCGGTTTTTTGCCTGTACCTCATGGCAATGCTCATATACAGCACTCTTATAACGCTAGCCACCACATTAAGTATCCATAGCCATCATATCAAAAAAGATCCTTTGATGAAATATCTAGAAAAAATACCAAGCCTTTTGACGAATATTCGCAAGAATAAACAGAAGAAAATGAAGGGAATATCAGTGGAAGAAATGAACCTACCCCAAAATGATAATACAGAATTTTCGGACGTCGACAATATACACAAAACGAAAAGATTTGATAAAATATTGTTCGTATTTTTCTTGATGTATTTTATCATTGCAACTTTAATTTTATTTGTCCAAATTTTGGTCCGATAAAGGTGGAAGATACCAGACTGAAATTTTCGCAGGATTTTTTTCAAAAATTCAAAAAATTGATATTTGTGAGTTGTTCTGTTGGTCGCCTATGATTGCTTTCATTATAATTTCAGATAATACCAGTGAAAACAATCTTTTGATTATAAATATGTTGTTACGAGGCGAGAATTAAATATGTTTTATGGTGTAATTCATGTACAGTAATGAATTTGTTCAGAACAAGGTTTCTTTATATCATATACTTCTTAAATATTTTCCCCTACGAAATAACTTATATGTGCATATGTTGTTCATTAAAATAGAGAAAATTTGACGTAATGTTCCTTGACAAAAATAAAAAAAAATCCACAAAAGTGTTTACTTCTAGTGATGAAAAGTCCATCCATTAATTGCGTCTACGGACATACCTAAAAAGGAAACAAACACTTATTATTGATTCGACGTTGTTTAACTTTGGTGATGGTTTGTTGAATAGGTCCCTATCATAACTTCAATTAAAGAATATTAGAACACATTGAACCGTGAGTGACTTTAAATAAACTGATGAAAAGCTTTTAGATCCGAATCATCAGAGGATTACCAATAATCAGAAGACTTTATATCAACGCTCAATGTCTGTAGACATGGAATTATAAGTGTCCCTTGACACCTAGCTTATTCTGCAAAATACAATCTGAAATATCAACTTCAGAGAGGTGTTTTTTGTTTCTTTTTAATTAAAAAATGGTAACATCTCTGTTTTAGTAATTACGCTGCATGTTCTTTGAATCATGGATAAAAGTAGAATATTTTTTTTTGATTTTCTAGTCAATAATGAATCGATATTGTTATTTATTCAACACTGAATTTGTTGTCAATGTGATAGGAAGAATTGGCAATCATTTATAGATTAAAGATATTATTTTACAGAAAATGTTTTTCTTAGAAATAAAGATTTTTAAGTCAATTTATTGCTAGATTTCAAATAAAATTTTAAATAGAATTAAATTATAAAGTTTTTTTTACCTTGTGTTTTTTTTTTTTTAAAAAACCTGCTAAGTTTTAGTTGCATATATAATTTCACTTTGATTGTGACTGCATATCTATTGAAAATGACGTAGTTTTCTTTTTTTGTTCCTGTATTACAATGTCATGATACCTGTATCGTCATTCTTTTCAAATCCTTATGTTCTCTAAAAATAGGCATACTTTACAAGTTATTTTTCAATATTTTGCATATCCAAATCTCTGATCTGAAAAGTAAAAAATACAAGACCTTAACTTTTCAATCGTCAACTTCCCTTTCTTATGCAGCAATATAGCTTCATCTCTCGCATACGGGGTTTATATCTTTCAGTTGATTCGATACGCAAGAGAATACTCTTCGTATGTACACTTTCTAAAACGAGGTAAATTATTGAAAAACAAATTGATGAAACAAGAATATCAGCAGTCTCATTTAAAGTCATAATTTCGAAAGTTCTATTGCCGATATAATGATTATGTCAGCAAATACAATTCATCATTGAGTCAAATGCTGACGTGCGTTTTTCATACCAATTGTTAGGCCATTATAAACACAGAATTGTTTAAAGGTTATTTTCCGTTATTTCCCGATCGTGAAAAGGAGCACACGCCGGACTTTACCGTCGATAGGGATACCAACTCCACCATAGCACCTTATCCTATTTCTGATTTTTTGAGAGTCTGTATTTGCTCTGCTCCAATTTTGTATTGTTAAAGGGGTGTTAAAAATTAATGTACATTGCAAATCTACAAAGCTTGTCTTTTTTCAATAGTTGGACTCTCAAAGGAAAGTTTTTCTTTAAAGGAAATGAAAGTTGTTTCACTGCACTATTCATAATTTTTAAGCAAAAACTATACAAAAGCTTCAGTCAATTGACAGCAAGGTTAACCATCATTTTGTTTTAAGTTAAAAAAATTCTGTACATGTTCCTAGAAAATAGTGTGTTTTTAGTTGGAAGCAGTATGTCACAAGTAATTGAATATCAAGTTTAATCTTTTGATCTCTGGTACCTTGAAAGCTTTCTAACCACTGAACTATTTACAGCCGTTACTCTATTTTTTTTTTTTTTTTTTTTTTTTTTTTTTTTTTTTTTTATACACATCTTTGAATCCGTTGAAATAATTATAGAAAGGATTTTTCGCACAAATTTTAATTGAACTTTTTATTCATATATTACAGATCAACTACAATAAGCTTAAACATAACAAACAAACCTTTGAAATTTTTATTACATGTTTTGTCCAACCACAGTTAATGATCACAGGCTGCTTATACATTTTGTTCATTTACTTAATTAAAACATAAAATAAAAACAAAACACTGACCAAGAGAAACATTGCTTATTTGTTATTGTTTCCGAGATACCAGATGACACTATACATTATGAAACTTAGATGCAAAGCAATTCAAATATATTGCAAATTGTTTTTGAAGTATTTTAGTTTTTTCCACAAGAGAATATAACTGTTTGAAACATATTCGTATATTCATAAAGTAAATCAAAAAGAATAAAAAAAATCTATTAACGAACTCAATACAATAATAATGATTATGGTCATTCTCATACAACACTATTAAAAAATACATCCTCTTTCACATCTTTCATTTCCATAAATAAAACATTTAAAGTTCCATCCTCTACTTTCACCTGTGAAAAAAAAAACATCGCAAAGCTAAATGAATAAGTACGGATTTCAATAGTTTGAAAATCTGCATCAATTTAAGTACAATTTTTTAGATATAAATTCTTGATTAAGAGTGGAAGAAATCGTAAGAAATTTAGCATCAAGTGTCTTATAGAAAATTTGTGAAGTTGTTATCAAATATAAAACCTAAGAGCAACGTTACAAACATGCAGTAATGTCCAAAGGACCAATTCATTTTTCTACGGAATATCAAGATATAGCAGTTTTAAAATAAATTATATTTATTCTAAGATTCTAGTTTTATTTATTGATTTTATCCATTGATTAGAAATCTATAAAGACATTAAGTTTTCTCACCTTTTAAAACACGACATACATGACGAAGAGGGCGGTGTATTCTCTTTCTGATGTACGTGAAATGAATCCTGGCCGTTATCTGTAATAAATTTACAATGCAGGAAAATTCATCTTAAGGTACAAACATAAAGATACAGATTTCATCTCCCAGATTTATTGCAATACTAGTATTTAGAAAATGTTATTCATTATATAAAATTTGTTTATTGTTTGTCATTATACTTTCAAGAAATCTGAATTTCAGTACTTTTTAAAGGAAAAATAAATATTTTGATAGTTTTATTTCAAAAATGTTGATTGCATTTTATTAAGGAATATCCATTCATATATTGATCTCCTATGTTAGCGTATAGCTCACAATTGCTTTGACACCGCGACTTGATTTTAAATCTAAGTCAATAATCTCTAACAGATTAATTATAACTCTGGCTTTATTTCTACAATGAACAAAATAAATACCAATTTAGTTTGTTTACATTTCTTAATAAGTTCGTAAGGGAGTAAATAAAAACCGTTATATATGAAAAAAAGAAGATTAAAATTTGTAAATGACTGTTTACACAACGAGTCATATCTGTGTTTTGTTTTGCTCTAATAGATTCAGCTTCAGTTGTTCAAATCAAATTCACGCTTTGATTTAAATATAAATCATATACTCAAACTTTATTTACAGATTTAGTCAAAATTGTTGTTATTATCATGGCTAATGATATTTCTCAGAGTGCGATATGCGTTCTATACAAACAGAAATACATGAGATTTATGTGAAGAATAAAATGGGAATGTTTATTTTCAAAACCTACAAAGCAAAAAAGTTTAGGTGTAATATCAAATGGTCAAACTAGAATTAAACATTTTTTTTTATAACTATAGTAATATATTGATATATTAATATATATTTCTTTTATGAAAAAAAACCCCAACATTATACAAAATAATTTTATTATAATTAACTTGATGACTCTAACTTTTCAATCGTCAACTTCTCCTACTTATGGAACAATAAATTTTCACCTGCAGACAGGGTTTATATCTCTTAGTTCATTCGAAACGCAAGAGCATGTTCTACATATGTACAATTTCTAAAATGAGGTAAGTTATTGACAAACAAGTTGATGAAACAAGAATATTAGCAGTCTCGTTTAAAGTCATCATTTCGGAAGTTCTATGGTCGATACAATGATTATGTCAGCAAATACAATTTAATGTTCCTTATCTCCATATTTTTCATTCATATATTTTTATTCAAACTACAGGTACTGTGAGCAATGAGATCACTTAATGATACCCCCGCCTCCCACATGTTACAATGGCAGTCCATGCTTTACACTGGGATACCCGAAATAAGTGTCAAAATCAAAATGTAAAATAGGTCACAATGGTATTATGTAATAAAGAATTTGGGAAAGTATCATCAAATTTTATTCAGTGGTATAGGAGGAGCTGTTGATAAGAGATGGGTACCCTTCAATATAATAGTCGTGCCCATGTTTTGCTCTGGGAACCCCATATATGTGTCCGATCAAAAAGTAAGAAAAGAGGTGCACAATGTTATAATGTAACAATAATTCCGTGAAAGTCTCATTAAATTTCATTCAGTGGTATAAGAGGACGTTCCGACACCCCCATCACTATATATCCGCTCGCTTTTCTAGCGGGGGGTTTTTCTCTGTGAAACATAACAAGTTTATGCATCTTTATTCGGTGGTTTTTACTTTTTAATATTTTTTTAGAAAATAAATGGAAACTGAACGTAAGCAGGACCCAATACCTTGTGTTTTTGGCTGGTTTTCTGGATAGTTATGCATGTTTCTTATATAATCCTCTCCTATACGTTGAAATACAGCATCTTTTGAATAGCAAAAAGTCATTTTAATCATTCAGTAACTTGACACAAGCTTACAATGTAAAGGATATATCAAGTACGTTTAACATGAATTACACAAATGTACTTGTATTATTTTAAACTTACCTACATTCTCTCCTGTTAAACTCGAGGTTTCGAAACAATCAGTTTGTAAGTCTGAAATGACCGTAGAAATAAAACTTGGTTGAAAAATTATTAAGTTGTGATGCGTTCTTTAATGAAATGAGCTAGGAAGAAGATTGATTTAAACATTAAGCAAATTCTTTAGAAATCTGATGCACCTCGCTACCTAGTGATTTTGTTTATACATTGAATTCTTTTGTACTTAAAATACATCTGTAGATTACCCGGGATATAACTCCGTTTTCAAATATGGTTAATATATAATACATAGAGAATAATATATACCCTTTTCCATATCACATCCTGTATCAGCCCGAGACACCAATATCAGCCAGAGGGCCGAAGGCCTGATATTGGTCGAGGGCTGATACAGGATGTGATATGGAAAAGGGTATATTTATTATGTTTATTACATACTTTAATAGTAATAAAATAGAGTACACATCAACTTGAGAAAAAATAATCATGCACAGACTTCTGACAGGTACATACTAGCTGATTGACTCAAACGGATTGGGTATGTTTTGCCCTATCCATAGTTTGAAACGATCTTTCGTCAAATACCAGTAGGTGATCCTTACAATCAAAAGGTTAAAATAATGAGAATGATTATATCAAAAATATTTATATTATCACAAGTACTGTTTTGAGGTTGAATTTACAAGGGGTGTGATATTGATCCGTATCAGTCCTGCAAATCCATATCAGCCTGCAGGGCTGATACGGCTATTGTGATGTCAGGCATATCACATATGCAAAAATCCTGTATTTATTACTAAGTATGTAATAAATAAATATACTTTCTCATAAGCCATTTTATCAAAGCGTCAAGTTTTCATTTGTTCCACCACCTGTACCAATATAAATGGATTTAATTTGTTCAAGCAGCAGAATAAATGGAAAAGGTTAAGATGAGAATGAGATCGATCTGATAAAAGCTACAAACAATACAGATACATGATGATGACCTGGACACACGACGCCCAGAAATCCCGGAGGTGGATCAGGTGTTTTAACTAATTTTTAAACGCCATAGAAAACAAGAGGCCATAATACCTTGAGCTATCACTTGTGCCTCGTCAACAGATATCGCCCTCGTCTTTGGATCATTGTCAATCAAATCTTTCTTTGTTCCACATATATACATTCGGCAATACTGTGATGTAAACAAAACAATTTTACATTATTTTATTAATATATATTATAAATTTTGTTAGCAAACATCAAAATGCAATATAACTTAAGTTACAAAATCAACATGTTAGATATATAACATACAAAAATACTAGATACAACACATAAGAATGGACAAAATGAGTATCTTTAGAAAGGAACTAGTAAATATTTGTTCACTTACAATCTATTAAATTTGTCACTTTTGGCACATTTCAATATACTTATTTGATATTTATTCTTACAATTAAAAGCTTGTTAATGATACTCATTCAACATTTCATAAGTTCTGTGTTCTACCTGCTCATTCTCCTGTAACTCGCCAACCCAGTATCTAATTTTATCAAAACTGGATTTATCTGTCAGATCGTAACATAAAATGGCGGCACGGGCACCTCTATAGTACATCTTAGTCATGGACTGATATCTTTCACTACCGGCTGTGTCCTGCCATAAATCGAATACTTAAATCATTGGTATTACAAAAAATTCAGTTACTTCATAAAATTGAAAAAAAAGTTGAGGTATGTTTCTTAAAAGGAGCTACAAACTGGGCAAATCATGTGACTTACCCATATATTTAGCGTTACCCTCTTTCCCAGAGCTTGTATCTTTTTAGAAACAAATGCTGCACCAATCGTCTACAAAATTATACAAAAATAACAACTCTAATTTTGTCCAAGAAAGATCGTTAAGTTTCATAAGATAAGCCCCAGTAGACCCTTTTCCTATGACATATCTTGCCTAGGAGTTATTCCCCTTAGCTGCCATCTTGTAGGGTAAAATAGTGAAATTACCTCTTTGAGCAACCAATTTTAAACAAGCATGTAAAAAATATATGGGGGAAAATATTTACAATCTTAAAATTATGAATTAATAAAGGTTTTAACAAACGTATATTCATAAGAAAAATAGTGTTTTCTTAACCTCAGTAACCAGTATAACAAATTGAACTTGGTTGAATAATGAAGAGATCTGGGAATGTTGCCCTACAAGATGGTGGCTAAGGGGAATAATTTCTAGGCAAAATGTATCATAGGAAAAGGGGCTATAAAACCATTTCCCACTCCATACTGCTTAATCGTATACTGGTTAGCGTACTTGTGGTCATGATACTTACAATTGGATGTAGTGGCAATACTAACTAAAGCATTAACACCTGTTTTTAGTTCATAATCGTTTGATTATTCTTACTATTAATAAATAATATCTCTTTTTTTTTAAATTAAGAACTTATGTTCACGACAGATTTCCAAATCAATACCAATAATTATATGTATATAACGATATGCTTCAAAAGAAAAAAAATACGACTAAGTAACACTGTTCTGGGGTACGTTGTAATGACAATGATTCCTAACATCTATCCATCAGCACTTCAATTCAAACGGTCAGAACATCGGAAAACTTTATAGGACATGTACATCTAATTCGACAAATTCTAATTACTTCATTAATAAATCAATACGAACTATAAACTTCATTAATGAATAATTAAAGCTGTATTCAAACTTTAACACAAATGAAATATTGACTCAATGATAACCTCAGTTTCATCTTTTGTTTGTGTGCTTTCTCGAGAATACAACGAAACCAATTCCACAATACTTGTATTACAAACATGTATTAATCATATTTTCTTATCAGTGAACTAATTTAATTGCTTTTCAAAGTTCCACATAGTTCCATAGTTATTGATATCATTACTTACCAATTACACACAATGGACAACAATTAAATACAAATCAAATAAATCCATAAATTAAGCCATTGGTATCTTAATAACGATGCTTTAATATTCTATATCTAAATAATTTCGTAACTGAACAGTGGTGTATGTACGTAATAGTTCTCAATGAATTCCCAAACATTCAGTCTTTAATTGATCCTGGGTCAGTAAAGATGGAGATTTTCCGAGCGGCGAGATTAGAAATGTATGTACTGGTCAGTATTTTGACTGGAATTTTTTGTCAAGACTATAAGGATGTTCTAAATGTGACAAATACATTACTTGACGGCTATTCAAGATATATTATTCCAAAGAGAAACCAAAGCGAAAAAATCAAGATAGAAATGGACATAACTCTTAAAGCTCTCAATAAGTTTAATGTCGTGGATGGACAATTAACCATGGTGACAGCAATGACTTTAATGTGGAAAGACGAAATGTTATCTTGGGATCCACAGTCGAACAAAAACATCCATGAATTGAGTTTTCAACTGTCACGCATCTGGTCTCCAAATCTCTATCTTTTGAACTGTGCTGAGAAATTTCTTATCTATAAAGGAGATCCAGATTCAAAAGAGGTTCAGTTTTCAAGCAGTGGACATGCTCGATTGTTTTTCATGGAAGTCTTGACCACAACATGCACGTCAGATATTACTTTCTATCCCAATGATATCCATCGTTGTAAAATTTATCTTTCCACATTAATGCCCGCTTCAAAATTACAAATGGGTTTAGCTGAGATAGATATTGCAAATTTCGAGAGTAACGGAGAATGGATTCTTAGCAATATCAATTCCGAAGTAGAATTCATAACGACGAAAAATGTTGAACGCGTCGTAATTATTTTCGATTTGGAAAGGCGAATGGTATTTCACATGATAAGTGTTGTATTACCTGTTGTCTTTCTAGGCCTGGTAAACGCGATTGTTTTCAAACTTCCTGTGGAAAATGGAGAACGTATGTCTTTTGCAATTACTGTTCTTCTGAGCTTTGCTGTCTACATGACTTTGATAACTGACAGAATGCCGCAAACCAGCAATACATCTTCCATTTTCTGCATGTATCTGATGTCCATGCTTATTTACAGCACCTTGATAACTGTTGCCACCGTGTATAGTATCAACAACCATCATGCCAGAAAAAATCCTGATATGAAGTATTTCAAAAAGATAATGAAAGGATGGGCCAATATATGGAAAATCAAGCATCGAGAGATAAGTGCTGCAGAAATGAAGCTACCTCCAAATGATATCAATCAGAAAAACAATACCACGAGTCAAAGTTCTCAGTCTTCTTCTAAAACTGAGGAATTACCGACAAAGTCTATTGACGGTGTCTTTTTTGTGTTTTTTGTTAGTTATTTTTGTGTTGCAACACTTCTCTTATTTGTAAAGGTCTTATACCGACAACAC